TTTTTGGATTTCTCCTGAATAAGAGCTGAGATTTTTGGCACTTCCCATATACTCGCACTTGATGCACTAGGATTCATGGACTGGACATTTAAGACGAGGCATGAGGAATAACGGGCACGTGCAGTGTATCCTCTGAGGCGGTAGGAACTGCTGGTAGTGGTATGGTGGGAGCGCTGTTCCTGGCTGAAGAGGTGGATGTGGTCTGGGGTAGTGGTAGGGCATTTGAGTTTGAGGGAGGCTGGACCGGTGGACGACTATTTCTGATAGGAGTCCGATCCTGGTTTGCATCGTTTCCAACAGTCTCCGTAACTATAACAATCCTGTGATCTGGTATTGGTTACTTAAACTTATTTAATTGAACATGGTGTTTGACGTTGGAGCTTATCACTTTACAGTTTACATCACCTTACCTGAATAATTGAATAGGATGAATACTGAATAGCATTTATTAATGCTTTCTTTACCCGGAGAACTCTGTTTTACTTGTCCCTCGGTAACACAAGACCGTGAGCCGTGACACTTAGTCACAATAATTAAGTCATAAGTCAGAAAGAAGTCCATAATTCGTACACCCATGATTATGTTAAATATAGATTGACTCCAGTCTCCATTGTTCAATGACTTCGTCAAAATGTTTTAGGAAAATGTTCACAGATTTGTTAATTTTGGACTCAAATTAACGTTGAGAAAAACTGAATTTATTTTGGAAAAATCCCGGCTAAAACCAAAATCCCGGCCGGTACCGGTACAAAATCGCCAAATACCAGCCGGTATTCCGGCTGCGCCGGTTATATCCCGGTCGAGTTCTGTCTGAGACCTAATTTTCTCTATTTCTCGTGCAATTTTAGATCAGACACAGTCATCTAAATTATTTAATAAGAAGGTTTAAATTATAAGCAATTAAAAACAGTTGGGACTATCATTGTTTGTGAGTACATATTATACGAATATAAGGTGGTTAATATAATTATAACACATTTAATATAAAACATTTAAGACACATTTTTTTATTCCTGCATTGTACTCATTAATTTAACTAGTAATATTATATAAAAACCACATTTCTATTTGTACAGGGAGCTGCTGGTAAACTACCGTCGCTATACATCGACTATGACTACAATCCTACTTTTAAAAACAAACTACATACATATCTCACATTTGCGAGGACTACTTCATCACAAGCAAAAAATCGACATTGGTAAATAAAGGTAGGTTCTTTTCACTGACTTCGTTAAATGAGTTACATATTTTCACACAAATTACGTGCGTGATCATTAAAGGGTTGCTTGTGTGCAGTTACTTCTGGGCCAGCGCCACCCTGTTGGGAGTTTTCACATAAGTAAATTTGCCGATAATACAATTTTACTCATTCTGGACATGTTACCTATATTATCATTATACTAGTATTTCTTCAGGTCTGTCTTCTATAACCACGATGAAAAGAAAAGCTGGGCGAAAACATTTGAGACTGCAGATTGCAGAACTGGAACACTCTATTTGAAGACAGTGGCTGCTGAGTGCTGAACTGCATCAAATCTATCAGCATCATGTAACTTCGATCAGGAACAGACTCCATTTCATTTCCGACAACTAGCACCTGTTTTCCCTAGACTTACCAAGTATTAAGTAACTGCATTAGTATTAGGTTAAATTAAAGGCCCTACATCGAACAAGTCTAACAATTAAAACTTAAATGCAAGAGTGCACAATTTATCACTAAATATCTTCCTCTTTTAATTCTAATCAACACACGGTTTCGTCTTTGTTTCACCCAATCGTGCTGATAATCAGTAATCATGCACTCTGCACTCTAACTTCGAGATGTTTCAAAAGGGCTCCCGACGAGTTGAATTAGATCAATATTTTCTTTTGATACATAGATACTGATTGGGAGGTTCATCATACTATTCTTGTCACATGGTAACGATTAACGATTAGCTGATCAGCTTCCAGCATCGACAGGCCGAAATCCATAAATATAATCAGTTGTAATTTAATATTTATCATCGTCCGGATCATCATAATATTTTAATTTAAAGTTACAATTGAACGGTGTTAAGAAAGATAATTTAAGAGAAATGTTTTGAAAGTGCCTGATTTCGAGTATAAGATCTGTACTGATACATTAATTTTCAGATTGTTATTATAGTTTATTTGTATTTTTTATATTATCTTATCCGCACAAGTTCGGAAGCCATCTGAACGCTATTGCCAGACACAGGCATATATTTATTTTGGGGTATCATGCTCTCAGAAATTTCAACTCAGTCCGATATTATAGTTATACTAACCTGCATTGCATAAGGTTAATTGTCTCGCAGTCTAGTGCATAAACCTTTTATTTTGTATAAACCCTTTATTTTGATTGGGAAAACTTTAGTTTAATGTGGTTACCGTCTCTAAAGTTGGCATGATAGTTAATAAACTCTTATCTATTATGTCACTGAAGATGACGCCTTGCAACATGTTTGACGATAGCCTGTAGATTGATAGTTTGATCTAAGTATTTACAACAATTCATCTAGTTTGATTGATTCAAAGGGAAACAAATTCCTCTCTTATCTATTATGACTATATTTAAATTCAATCCTGTAAAGTGATACTCCTTTTTTAGTAATTTAAACATGTGTTTTCTCCTTCTGATTTTTAAACTATTACCGGTCACGCTGAATAATAATGACATCAGTGAATTTAAAGCTATCGTTAACATCACTCAGAAAATGCGCGTCTTTAGCGCGTGTCTTGTTGTTATGCATCAATCCTTCGGTAGATCGGCGAGATGCACCACTGTGCCTCACCGAGCTGCGAAGGATTGACATCGTGAATCAAGTAGTTGACATACTAATAGTATTAGTTGACATACGTTGCTTGCCACTTTCCGCGCGCGAAGCGCGCGCCGCCGTATTTAAATTCACTTATGATAGCAGTAATAGTAGTATAGAGTTTACATTTTTTTGACTAAGCGGTGAAGGGGTCATTCACATATTTATACTACGTAATCAATATTTTGGCCATTTTTACCACACCCCCCCCCCTCCGTAATCAACTGTGTCTGTAATCAAGACCGAATGGCTTAGTGGCGCAGTTCGTTAGTCGACCTGCCCTACTCGTGATACGCTGCTCGATCACGAGGTTGCGGGTTCGATCCTCGCCTGTGTCACTAGCCATGGGGTGAGCGGTAGAGTTTGGTGTGGGCAACATCACCAACAGCATAGCCATAGGTGTCTAGAAACTCAACGCCGTCCCTAGAGTAGTCGTAAGTGAACAAAAGGTTTGGGTGGATACTGTTAAGCCATTCCATGAATTGTAATAGTTCCTCAACAGTACCAGGCCAAGCCATATGAATGTCATCACGTAATCTCTATATATATACAGGGTGGGCCAAAAGTCAGTACCGGCCATACGTCGGCCTTTATAGCTCAGTCACTGAGTGCCCAATTTAAATACTTCCTTCTGGTATGAATTAGTACCACCACTGGTTCGAGGAATTTGTCAACTCGAAAAATATTCGCGTTCATTTTTTTTCAAATGGAGGTTCATTTTCACATTTATTTGATAGTTTGGATAGTCGGATCAAACTAAATGTTATTGAATTGTGTTTGGCCATTTATAGAATTACGTTTGTCCTGAAAGAATTAGAACTGTAGCCTTCTCAGATGACCGAGATATGAAGCATAACGAGTTTATTCATTACGTGTGATCAGGTGATTGGTTTACCTAATCACGTGATAAGGTGACCCCGTTAACTACCCCGTTCAACATTATGGGAATTGTTAAGGGTGCCCAATTAAGGTGTCGTGTCACGGTGTCACATAATCACCCAGTCAATTTTGTTAACGATATACAGAAAATGCTTGATAACTTCGTCATTTCAAATCCGTTTTGCCTCATATTTTCAGATCATATGCAACATTTGATAATCTACCGTCTCTAAAAAAATCAGGCATTCAGCATGTTCAGAGAAAACAATATCAGTGTTTTAATATTGAATGGGCGTGGTCTAAAATATTCGAATTTTCAAATTTTGACGACGGAATCCTCGAACCAGTAACTGTAAGACTAAGTACAGTATGCCATCTGCAAAGCAACAGCTCTCAAATATAAAACACGGCGGAGCTATTAAGGCCAGAGTATGGGTACTGACAATTTGGCCCACCCTGTATATTTACTTAGGACGTCCGACAAAATCGCAGATTTTCAGACCTCCCCGGCCCCCTCCCACTGTTCGGGTGTGCGAATTTTCAAAACCCCCTCCCCCTAGCTGACGTCCGGATTTCCAGCTACTTTTAAGAGTACGAATAAAACCAACTCAAATTCATTGAGTAATTATAGTGTCAAAGAGTTGATATTAATGGGACTTTTTCGTTAATTCTGCCAAAATTTCCGGACGTCGGGATTTTCAGAAACCACCCCCTCCCGCTGTACTGTCCGGATTTGTCCGAAATTTTAAAACCACCCCCCTGCCTATTTGCCGGACGTCCTAAGTAGATACCCACTATAAGTTTTGGTAAAATTGCCTTATTTTTTTACACTCTGTGTAGAGAATAATAACACCCTATCTCCATTTGTATCACGTTGTGACACCCACGGTCGTTTCACTAGGTCACCTTTATCGTCCTGACGATACAGGGGGAGCCGCGCACTTCGTGCGCGGCTGGTCATACAACGTATGACAAATCTCCATTAGCTAACCGCAATAGTGGGGAGAGAATAGAGATAACGATGAGATAAGAAGTTTGAATGGCAGATCTGATTAAACGTGACTATAACTTTATCCTATTTGATACGAGTGGATATTTTTAATTTTACTGTCTTACGTACGTGAGTCACGTGACCAGCTCATAGCTATAGAGAGCCAATCAGATGGTCTTACCCGATTGGTTACTTGGCACGCCAATCCGATAACAATGGCAACACAATGGCTATTAATGTAATGGTCAATAGGATATTGGAGGTTTTAAATCATGATTCCTACAAAGAAAGAGCAAGTCTTGTTCATAAATAAATCAATTTTACGGTGATAAAATTATACTGTATAGAAAAATAACTGGTTACAAGATCTTCACATGCACGGCCATACCAACTCGAAAATATTTCATTTTACAGGCTGTCTTTCAGTGAAAACAAATCTAAAAAATGTCGTGCCCTTTCTTGGAGCAAATGGTCAGCATCGTGTAAGTGTAACAGATGAATATACCGTAATTAAGTTAAATAATTTATTAAATAAGCTTTATATATATCACATCAGTTCACTGCTTTAAACTAAGCTCCTACGATTGTCTCTGAGATACCTTGTAGTTACTCGGCTATCGTTGCCAATACCATGATTACTTGCTCTTACTCTTTAAGAGAACCAGCGCGGTCACCTGGTGAAATTACCTTCATCTGGAGCACAATCTGCTGTTTCTCCTTGAGTTAGAGTTAGCTGTATACTCAGGTATGGTGGGAATGTGAGTGGTGGGGGACGGTGGGGAGCTGTCCTCGTCTAGGATACTGTCCAAACTGCTTGAACCGTTTGATTTGGAATAGTTTTTATTGTTAGAAGTGGAGCTGACTCGGTTGATGGTTTTGCTGGTTGCGTGTCCACCGAACGTGGAGGTTCGCTTGTAGAGTACGTAGTTAGGAGTGAACGAGTTTCCTGAAACAATGAAATGTTAATTGTTAATTTACAAATTTTTAGAGAGAGAGAGGCCCATAATCTGCGGGCGATGGACATAGCGAGATATAGCTATAGTCTACATTTATACTGGTGACGTTAACTTTTATGTATTACCCTTATTATACAACTAGTATTCAATCTAAGATGTTGTTATGGTAACCTGCTTGGCTGACACGGCGCTGGTTAGTGTTAAGCTCTGTCTTGCCCCACACGCTTTCTGCGAACTGCATTGAGGGAGCCTTCCTGCCGAATGCCTCTTGGAGGGACTCCGCGATTGTGTCCAGTTCATCTTCGAACTGATCAGCGTCTTCTTTGAGCGGGATAGTGCCGATTATTAGGGGGATCTGTAGTTTCTGTTTGGGGAGTCTCACTGTTTCCACCGTTAGTTCTGGCAAGGAAGTGTTAAAAGGAAATATGAAACAAAAATGTTGAAATTACATGGACTTTAACATACAGTACCTGCTATTTATAGCAAGTGTTGTAATAAGTGTTGCTATATAACAACACTTATTGAATATTAAAATAACTAATCTAGTCCGTATACTATATACTACTATGTTACTGAAGGAAGTTGGGACAAACTCTAAAGAGGAACTGCGAAGTGCGAACCCTGATGCGGGACAGGAATATATGGAGGGGGTTATCTGGCGTAGATCGGACTTAGTTCCGACATAGTAGTAGTAGTATATATACTGATCCAGAAACTATCTACTCACTGATATAGTACTCAAGGTGTATGATATGACAGTATACCAGCCCAGAAGGGGGTATGGGAGGGATATCTAGCATCACGTGCCAGGTGTCCTTGGTACCGCGTGGTATAGGCCCTCTCTTGCACTTAGCTACCACCCGCTTCGTTGTCTGCTCCTGTGATATTGCGTTAATATTATACGTGTAAATCTCAGCAAACCCACACCAGTCTCGTACCTACAGCGTGTGTTAGTACTTGGTAGAATTTCCCACGTGCTTGTTTAAACTAGAATAGTTTATAACAGGAAACCGAATAAACGTCATTGGATACGACCCAAAGTCTCGTACTCAATTGCTTTAGGTTAGAAAACGCCAATTTGTGGAATTTTATGCGGGATACCAGATTATCAAATGTATGTGATGGTAGTCATGGTAGCACATGACGCGCAAACGGGCCCGGAGTTAATGACCATATATTTAGGGTTTAGAAACTACATGAAAGGTCGTTTATCTCTGACCCCAGCTCCAGGACCTCTCCATGCAAATATGCAAGTAGAACAAGAGCAGTAGTTTACTAGGATAACTAGGATTATTAGGGTTACTAGGGTTAAGCTGATAGGGTTATCAAAACTAACCTGGTCACAAGCTTGGTATTTACAGACCTCCACCAACTCTGTCTTCGAGGATATGACAGAATGCATTGTCTTGTTATCCACACTCGCCTGGATTGGAATCTGTCTAAAAACTTGGTCACAGATCAATTTTATTTAACTCGAAATTAGAGATTTAGTCTGGTCAGAGGCCCAGACTTCAGTTGGTCGAGCTCTCTTTATTGTAAGACTCGTTCCAAAATGTTTCCTAGAATGTTCTACCACATTTTGCTAAACTATAACACAAACTCACAAAAGCAGTAACAGTCTGGCCGGGAACAAATCCTTTTCTGGGGACATTTAAGGTGGTTTTCAGGGACCTTCTAAGCAGCACCTGATAATGGAGGTCGTATTTGAAACAATGTTGCATTTATACAATTGTTAAAATGAATTGTAATTGTATTGCGAATCTAAAGAGAAAAAAATCTGATTAAAGGTTAAAGGGTGAAAGCTGAAAAGGGCTTAACATTTTGAGTGAACAGCAGATGAGTGCGAATAATTTCAATCCAAGCCATGCCATGCACTGTATAAGAATAAAATATGTATATTTTTTTAATCAATGGTGATCGGAATATCTAAAAACAAATACCTCTTTAATATTGGTAACCAAGGGATAGCCAGCCACAAAAAGTACCTGATGATGCTCAGTCTTCCTCTCCTCCGAGCTCTTTGTGTCTGGTGAAAGATTTAGATCGAATATAGAGTTAACTGTTATGCACTGGAGTGTTTGTTGGAAGTGATTACCTCCTGGCCAGTCTAACTGGGACATCACGAAGTATCTGAGAATATGTTGAGTAAGTTAAAATAAGTTTAAGTAATTTAAAAGTATTTGAAGCGAAGGGAAGAGAGGAAAACACTAAGTTTTGACATTTAGTGATTCGTAGGTTTTTGGTAAGCGTTTTCCTCTTGTCTGTCCAGCATCCAACTGATGTCTAAACCGACATGTGACTTAATGATATTCACGTCATTCACATCCCACTGCTGCATAATTAATTAATTGTTGCATAATAAATTAATTGTCTGTAATCAGTCCCATTGACGTAAGATCGACTAATGAGCTGTCAGCCAATGTACACTACGTCATGGAATTATGGTAATGATCTAACCGGCCCTTAGATGGGCTTCTCTCCAAGTTTATCAACAGTGGAAACTAGAAGATCCAAACAAATAGAAACGACATAGTAAAATGACAAGATCATTTGCTTGGAAGGTCTTTTGCTTACCTGATATTGCCATGAGATCCCTCGAAAGAACTTGGAATCTTGCGGGGAAGTGTGTAGTTGAACTCGAACTCATGGGCACCGGGCTCTAGTTTAACCACAGTCCTGGGGTTTCCAAGAAAGAAATGGGACCATCCCAGACACTGCTGGTAGTTGCGGTAGTGGCGAGGCTCCGCCTGATAAGGGGATGTCATTTAATTGATCCACTTAAAGTTCCGGTCCTCAATTGGTCCGGCATGAGCTGGTTGCAAAGTTGAATAAACTTAATAGATTGTCAGAATGAGAAAACAAGATAATTGATATTAAGGTATTTCAAGTAAGATATTGAGGTATTCGAAGAAGAAGAACCTTGTATCCGTTGCACTTCTCGGTCCAGTGTACGTTGCAGTCTCCCTTGATTTGTATAAAAAGGCCTCTGATATAGATAGGGTGGTTAACATGGAGCAAAACCTTCCCTCTGACAGTCTCTCCTGAGGGATGTTGTACGGTTTATGGACTAATCGTGGGGAGGTTAACAAATAACACGTGACAGGAATTAATTGTGAGTTCAATGTGTCGATCTTGCAAGTTGATCGGTTAATCTTTGACATGCCTAATCTTTTCAAATATCTTAATCTTAGACTACAGAAGAATTTTAATCTTTGACAACGACGTGCACAATTATTTTATTCTAAATATAATAAAATCAAATTGAAACAACATTCTAAAGGAGTAAAGGGACTAACCCGCGAAATAAACAGGTGGTTTATCGAGCTCTATAGAGAAATAAGATACAAACACTCCGCCATGTATTGTCATATCATTCTGAGATTATCAGAGCTCCGCCGAGATTCCTGTCCTTACAAATAGTACATTAAGTCTTGTGAAGTGAAGGAGTGATGTACTGTGGTTAACAAAGTAGATTTCAACAAAAACTTATACAACATCGAATGTGGATATAGCAAAACGATGTGTTTTTGCACATTTTAGCGTAGAATCTTCAATGCAAATGGTATAATGGTACAACTGCCCAGGAATTTACGTCCAATTGTTCTGTTTACAAGCGGTGACAGCCTAGGAAACATGAACAGTAACTTTAACATTAAACATAATCCCAGCTAAAAGCTGAAAGCTTGTGAAGAGCAACTAATTATTATAGAGCCGAAATATAAAAAAACGTCAAAATTAAAGATAAACGGAGTCTACTGTTGACTAATTAAAGATAGCACACAGATAATTATCAAATTGTGGTTTTATTGCACGACCGTCCGCAGTTAACTTTAGGTTCACATATGGTGCAGCCAAGTACAAATTAAGTTGTGTGTCCTAGATTGTAGAGCTTCCGGCGTAAACGTTTAAGAAGAAAAAACATAAAACAACTACTGGTTATCAGGTTATTACTAATTCTACTTTAAATTAAGTGAAGCCTCCCCGCGTGCCAACTTTAACTTAGTTAATATCTGGAATTATTAAAAGTTGTAACTATAAGCACATTCACTACATATAGATCAAGTTATAATTGTACTTCTACTTCGGAGAATGTGTATTGCTTTCATCAGACTAGTCAACAGGTGCTACAAATTCATAATTTAGATACAGTTTTATAATATCATCATTATTTAACGCGTTAGATTGTAGATAATTTTGAGACTGAAAGATCAAAGAAAAGATCATAACGATCAGATCGAAGGAAGATCAAAATTGAAAAGAATGTCACAATAATCATAACTAACTCAAACTGATGACTCAAGACATGACAAAGGTTATACTAAGAATAATCAGATCAAATATTCAAAAATATCCACAACAATAAATATTAAATTAAATTGGCTCAATTATTAATGAGTCTACACTATAAGAAGCACGTGCTATTAAAAGTGTTTCGCATTGCAAAGTAATCAGAGATTTAATTCAATTATTTTGGCTCATTGTTCCAATATACAGTAAAACTAAATACTAATGAAAGTTGTAAGTTGTCCAAGTAATGAGAATTGGAGGGTGTGTTACTGTTAGGACTTAGGGGGCGTCATTAAATTAATGTGTTTTATACCGGGCGTGTTTAATTAAAATTAAGATAAATCAGGGTACAAATATCATCAACAGCAGTAGAAAGTTTAATTAAGTAATTTTTGATAATGTAACCTGTAAATCAAATTTGTGAAGAAGTGGCTTATGATCCGCCTTTGAGCCTGGTGAAATTTTGCCACATTCAATTTAAATTAAACAATTGTTCATTTAATATCAAATAAAGAGGATCATTTGACCGTTCAGCTTGTTGTCACATAAAGAATGCAGTAATAGTATTTAAAAGAATGGGATATTGCTATTTGCTATTAATTACTAAACCCAGTTTATCAATTTATAGCATATTTGCAAATAACAAAATTTACTAAACTCGGGGATCTGACATTTAAACGCATTTTACTTTATAAATTGGCTGGACATCTTAAAAAGGGGCCAATCACAAAACAACAATTACAATCAAAATTATTGCAAATCTTAATTGAATTTATGAAGACAAGATAAGGATTGACAGAGATTGCGTAATAACGACAGAAGGAGCATTGTTAAATCTGTATTGAAATACCAATAAAAAAACGTAAATCTAAAAAGTCCGGGGAATTTGATTTTTATCAAGAATTTAGAATAACATAAATTTGTCAATGAAAGAACAAATACTAGTCTAGACTTGATGGTAGTCATGTTGACATGAAAACGACGTATCTCGTGGCGACCCACTTGTGAGTCACAAGCGGGTCGCCACGATCATGTTTACATTACTACCACCAACCTTAAGAGCTTAAAATTCTACACTCGTTTATAATTATCTTAGGGCGAATGCGGCTGCGAATACCATCATTACTGAGTTGTCAATTTCATATCGAACGTCTAGTCAGCTAACTCTCATCACAATTCCGTCTAGACTATATACATTAAAGAATTCAAATTAATTATTAAAAGAGGATAATATAGACTGACGTTGGTATTAAATGTATGTTGTATAACACTAACTATAATCAAACTATTCGTTATTCGTACGATTTGGTGGTACTATAGTATAAAGATGCAACAATTTTGAGACCTGCATCTTTAGAATAATCATAGCATAACGAACCAAAGCATAACAATGTTAACAATCATTTTTCAGTAAATTTTCACATAAAATAGATTGGTCCAGTTGGAGTTAGTAAACTTCGCTCTCTCGATCTTTGAACGTAAGAAAAGGTAACAGTGGGAAACTCACAGTCAATCCGCATGCGCGGCTCCACTGCAGTAGCACGTGTCGTCTGAGAGATCGAAGCTCAAATTTATTCTCGAAAATTCCCAGCGATTAGTCTAAAGTGTATTGGAAGTATGAGGAATGTTGCACTTGAATGAAGATTAAGATGATATGGCAATAAAGCATGTGTCAGTTTCTAAAAACAGTTGAGCAATCATTGCTCAACTGTTTTTAGAGACTGACATGGTACTAATGGTACTATAATTGCGACATAATGAACATTGCTCAGCAATGTTCATTATGTCGCAATTAGTACCATCCGTACTTTAGTCATTACGCGACATACACAATGTATTTGATACAAATCTGGCGTTCAAAAGAGCTTGTCGTTGTCATTGTATAATCAGATGTTATGGTGAAGTAGTTAGGAACGATATAGGGTATGGTAACCAAATAAGAAAACCTATTTTTAAACCTTGCAAACAGATAAACAACAAATTTCCGACACGTTTGATTACTCCCGGTTACAGTATTATGCTTGATCGATTACTAAACTGGAACAAAGCTCCCCCTTTAATTCTACTAGGAATTAATAACTAGGAACTCAAAACTGAGTTAAAGAAGAGGTACTATTCTCGGAATGGGATGAGACAACTCAAACTGGCATGCGCAGCTCCACTGTAGCACGTGTCAAACTGCAAAGAATTCATGCTACAACCAGCTCCTCGATATAACTTTAAGAAGGAAGAACCACAGTTCACGAGTCCAGAGTCAAAATTACGCAGCCATTTTCGATTACAATCAACAATCGTTAACCTTTGCACTGCTTTTTGTCTCAAGATCAGTACAACAAAAGAGATACATTTTTAACTTAAGCATGTTTTAACTAAAGCCATTACTATTAGTAACTAGGTCTAGTTGCTACGCCCTCTGCAGCTTTCTCCACATATATGTGGACCCAACACTACAGCCAATTGTGGCCTTAAACTTAAATTTAAAGGCCACAATTGCCTCAGTGGTTGGCCTATTTCTAAGGAAGCATAAATAATCAACATTAATCCCGTTTGCTAAACCAATAAGTTACTTAAGTAATAGCAAGTGCTCGCCACTTCTTTCTTTCAATTTGTTATTAATTGAAAAGTTCTTTACCATTTCTTTAACTTAAGTTCTTGAAGTTGAGGTCAGATAGTTAATATCTGATTATAATATCATATTATAAATATAATTGGCTAAATAAATTACTTGGATTAGATGTCGCCCTTTCCTATTCCTATAAGTTCATAAGTCAATTATAGTCAGAGCAAACTTTCAAGATGTCATCGCATGTCCAAACATTTAACAAATGACAATAAAATGGTCATGTTCCTGACCCTGTTCCACTTCATGTTCATGAGTAACCACTCTAACTAAAACTAATCGTACCAGGTAACTTCACGTCTTCAGCGTGACGTCAAACTTTATACTTCATGTTTAAACCACGTCCCGGCTCCACCTTAATTTAATGGCGCAGGTTATATCTCCACCGAAAGCACATCCAATTTGATACGTATGAAATATGTCTATAACTATTAACTAAGCTTGCTTGATTCTGCACTAATTTAAGTTCGCCTTTTGCGACCAAAATTGAACGAGGAATCATTTAATATCACTTTCGAGGCACCTCGACAAATGCTCACGCTATTGTGCTTTTCGTGGAAAAATACGTCAGTAACGTTTTCGAGCTTGTTATTTTCGTTCAAAATTGATCCGAGTGTCACTGTCAGAGTGTGCTTTCGGTGGAGATATAACCTGCACCTGATTCAATCCGCATCTAGACTCTAGAAGGAATCTCGAGATAAAATGAAGGACCTGAAGGGGGCCATTGTCTTAAGTTAACCAAACAAATGGTACACACGCGATGTCCCCAAAACATAATGTAAATATCAATCCCTAAAACCTGGGAATTCAAATTTATTAGGACACAAAAATATTGGAGAAAATATCATGATTACAAGGTACACCTTAGGTAGCAAGCCATAATCCTCATTAAGACCAAGGTTTTGTATATTAATAAAACGGTTTTTTAAAATCTCTTTAAAAACTGGAGTCATTGTTGACGGAGTTTGTTACATCTATTCCGGACGAACCTCCTGTTACTGGATATTGTTGCCAGAACGGGAATTCGTTATTAACCTGGACTGTGGAGCGCAGAAAAGACAGCAACGTCGCTGCACGGGTGGTCAGCCGTTCTGATGACCCGATAGAGGATCTATGAAGCAACCTCAAGTAACCCAAGTAAGTGGAGCTGACAAAAGAAGACATTACATTGCTAATAATATAGCTGATATAACTGCAGCAACCTATAAATACATACTCTTAACTTTTACGCTTTGATCGGTAGCCGTCAAAATGTTTAAGTCATTACAGTTGGTAAAAGTAACACTAATTGCAAATAAGGCCCGGTCAAATAGCCAAAATATAGATCAAATACAAGGGGAGGAGTTTATCAAACAAGATATTTAAGCTGGGAGGCTCCGTTCAGACCAACTGGTAATTGAATGGTAGGCTCAATAATATAAGTTTAATATAGGTTATAAAATTGGTTCGACAAAACACCTTCTTGATATGAATACAGGTACGGAGGTAACAGAGGAACGGTACGGAGGTAACAGAGGAACGGTACGAAGGTAACAGAGGAACGGTACGGAGGTAACAG